AGCCCTGAGACTAGATGAGCTTGCCTACTGTGTATGTAAATAAGTAGCAGTAGTAGTAGTCGCAGTAGTAGAAGGAGAAGTAGAAGAAAAAGAGTGAGGAAGAAGGGGACGCCTGGGTGGCTCAGTGGGTTAAAGCCTCTGCCTTCGGCTCGGGTCATGATCCCAGGGTCCTGGGATCGAGCCCCGCGTCGGGTTCTCTGCTCAGTGGGGAGCCTGCTTCCTTCTCTCTCTGCCTACTTGTCATCTCTGTCTGTCAAATAAATAAATAAAATCTTTTAAAAAAAAAAAAAAGAGTGAGGAAGAGGAAAAAAAGGACAGATCCAAATACTGAGACCAAGGCGTGGCTATGACTAGATATTAGGGAGTTGATTTGGGGGGCCGAAAAGCAGCACCCAGACTCAGAAGGAAAACCGAACATTTAAGGTATCCTAGATGTCAAGTAAAAAGTTTCAAGAAAGAAGTGACTGATCATGTCTAATGCTGCAGAGAGATCAAGAGGCAACTGAGAATTGAACACTGGATTTAGCAATGCAGAAGTCACTGATGACCCTAAAATTAGCTAGCAGTCCACAGAGAAGCTGTAACAAAACTAAAGAGAGCAGGGCCAAAACAGGGGTTCTTTTATGATGGCTGAGATAACAGCATGTTATCAAACAGTGTGTTGATGGGCATGACCTTGTAGAGAAGGAAAACTTGATGATGTAAAAGAAAGGAAATAAGGACAAAGTAATGTCCTTAAATACACAAGAGTAAATGGAATCTAAAACACAAGTAGATGGGTCAGTCCTAGCCAAAAGAACAGAGAAGGTGCAACCAGCATGAGAGAGAAGGTAGTCTTTTTTTTTTTTTTTTTTTTTAAAGCTCGTTCCACACCCAGCATGGAGTCCAAAGTGGGTCTCAAACACACGACTCTGAGCTCATGACCTGAGCCAGATCAAGAGTCGGACACTTAACTGGCTGAGCCACCCAGGCACCTGAGAAGGCAGTCTTAATAGACCTCTTGAAGAATTCCTTGGTGTACATCATTCTACTAGTCTGTAAAGATACTGACCTATGAAAGTACACTGTTATTATCCCTACCTTACAGATGAGAAAACAAAAGAGGAGAGGTTATGTGACACTGGTAATACATGCAGGTAATAAGAGGCAGAGCTAGAATTTGACTCAACTTGTAAGTTGATTCTAAAATCTTTCCTCTTAACTATTATATTATACTCCCTTTCCCCTTGAGGAAAAAAATTCTAAATACAGTGTTCCAATAATAATAGTGGGAAAACTGGACTGGACACTTAATACCACAAAACTTACTATTAAAATCTCTATGGGGGTTTAATAGAAAAATCTCTGGCTTTAGAGTCAGACAGAGTTGGCTTTGAATCTTGGCTTCAATTTTCATCTCCCCTATACAACCTTGGGAAAATTACTCTGTGAGCTTCCATTTCCACAACTACAAAAAAAAATACAAAAGTCTAAGTATGCAGCACCTTGCCCACAATTACACCAAGTGTTCAATAACGAGTAACATTATTATATGACCTTCCTATTTCCCTCTTCCAGACTTTCATAAGTCCCTCCTATTTCCAATTCTGTAAATGTATTCCTTCCCTATAATGTTTTTCTTTCTGCATTTTGCCCTCATGGTTCGTATCATCTTATCTGCTGCCTGCCAAATTACTGACCATCTCAAAGATATCAGAGGTCTAGTAGAAATAAACTTCAACTAGACTCAGCTATGTTTCTTTCAAATCAGACAGGCCTGACTTTGAAAGTCCCTTTGGTTAAAAATAGCCTCGTTTCTCTCTCATCAGACATGTATACTAATTTTAATCCTGGAGCAGAGCCTAGAGGCTAAGAGAGCCTTATGACTGAAACCACAACTACTTTAGTATACCATGCAGTTAAAAAAGGGAAATATCTTTAGTTTGGTGACAGTTTTATGTTTAAATATGTTAGACAGCATACATGATAAAATATGCAAAATCTAAGAAAGCTCTACTCTCACCTGCAAAGTGAAGTGCTAAGTCTCGATACAGTTCTCTACTCATGTTTTGAAATTCGGCCTCCTGCCACACTTTCCCATCAGGTGTTCGTATCTTGGTCTCTGAAGGATTGAAGCCTAATTGATACCAACAACACAAAACATTCTTTATCAAAACTGCTTTATAAGTTGTTTTACTTTTTAAAATGAGATATAATTAACACACTATAAAAATCACTCTCTTAAAATATACAGTTTAATGGCTTTTAGTACATTCACAAAATTATGGACCTGCCCCTGCTCTCTAATTTCCTGCACCCATTAGTAGTCACTCCTTCATGCCTCTCTTCCCTGGCAACCACTAATCTACCTTCATGGATTTACCTATTCTGGACATGTCATACAAACAGAGTCATACAATGTGGCCTTTTGTGTCTGCCTTCTTTCACTTAGCATAATGTCTTCATTGACTGTGTAGCATGTATCAAAGCTTTATTCCTTTTATTACTCAGTGATATTCCATTGTATAATATACAAACGCTATTTATCCACTTATCAGCTGATGGACCCTCTAACTGCTTCTACTTTTTGGCTAGTATTAACAATATTGCTATGAACATTCATGGACAAGTTTTCCAGTGGACATATGTTTTCAACTCTCTTGGATACTATACCTATGAGTGGAATTGCTGGGTCATATGGTAACTCCATGTTTAACTTTTTGAGGACTGTCAAACCATTTTCTAAAGGGGCTGCACCATTTGACATTCTCATCAGCAATGTACAAGGGTTCCAATTTCTCCACATCCTCATCAACACCTATTATTGTCTCTTGTTTTTATAAGAGGATCCTAGTGGTTGTGAGTGGTATCTCCCTGTGGTTTTGATTTGTGTTTCCCTAATAACAAATGGTATTGGGCAGCTACATAAGCTTTTTAAAGGATTCATAATTAGCTGCCACATAATGTACTGACAAATACTGTTTGGAAAAAGCAAGCTTCAGTGAGATGAAGCAATATACATTTGTTCAAAAAGATTAGAAATGGAGAAGCACTAAGTTAAATGATAAGTGAATGCCATTCATAAATTAGGGACTTCAGAGACAGAACTACTCTTCTCAGGACTAAGAAAGAGATAACACGAATTCTTCTTTCTTTGAAGATAGGCATTAATTGCTAGTATCTGTCTGATTTTGCCTGTGGCTCAACAAACAGACAAGCTGCTATCTACACAAGCAAAACACACCCAAAGTATGGAAAACAGGTCTTGAACAGTTTGTTCAATTTCTCAACAAACATTACACATGTGCTATTTCCTAGGGTTTAATATTCTGATTTCCTACTTTGAATTTCTCTCTACTCTTTGAGAAATACACTGAACTTGGAATGTTATTTTACAAAATAATACAATAATGACTACGGATGATAACCACAGTAGTATTTATGTTTTCAGGTGGGCTTAACTTACCAAGGAATTGGCAGCTAATAAATGTTTGTAAAATTAAATCAATATAAATAACTAGACTGGGGTCAGAAATTGGTAAAAGCACTCTAGAAGTGTTAAATAAAAGGTACTAAATTGATTGCATGTCTAATAGAAATTCATCTATTCAGTTTTTAGGCACAACAGCATAAGCTTAATTTCACCTGACATTTGTGGCAAGGGGCACATGATCATGCCTATACAAGGAAGAAGTTTATAAATGTAGTGTCCAATCTGTTGCAAGTGACAGTCTGTAATAAGAAAATATGGCAATCCCACGCCAATCTCTCTCTCAACTTTTCATCACTATTACCCCCAACTCATGTCTCTACATTCAACTCTTTTTTTCTTCTCTCCTCTTAAGAAAACATTGATCTCTATGGGAGCCTTTCTTTGTATTTGCATCTTTACTTATAAATTAACTTGAAGAAGCTTTCAATATCTACAGTAGTTTCTTTTTCTGTAGTCTCCGTTTCCCACTTTCCAGTCTCCATTACCCACTGTTACCCACAGTGCAGGATCAGGTGACCCTTGCATTGTCAGAAGGCCGAGAGTAGTAGCCTAATGCTAAGTCACAGTGCCCATGTCACTCACTTCATCTCCTCACACAGGCCTGCTGTAACCTCACAGCATCAAAAGAAGGGACAGGACAGTATACAACTTTTATTACAGTGTATTGTTATAATTGTTCTGTTTTATGATTAGTTATTGTTGTTAATATATTACTGTATCTAATTGCTAAATTGAACTTTATCATAGGCATGTATGTATAGGAAAAAAGTAGTATTTATACATTTCAGTACTGTCTGATTTCAGGCATCCACTGAAGGTCTTGAAATGTACCCCCCAAGAATGGGGGGGGGACTACTATATTTCCATCCTTTGTCCTTTTTTCTTACTAGCTGAATTTATTGAATAGAATAAAAGAGTTACTATGCATTTATGTTCAAGACACTATACTAGGCTCTGAAATAAAATAAGGATGACCAATATAAGGTCTTAAACTTCAGGGACATTCAGAGCAGGAAGAAAAATGTATGCAAAAAACTTAAGTATATTAAAAAAAAATCATATAAACACTGTTTATGTTCACTACCTCAAGTTTTAAAGCAGAATTACAGAACACTTTCTATGTCTTTAAAGAAAGAAAAAACATACATGAAAAACCAAGATTTAGAATAGGCTTAGTATACTAACAACAGTACTAAAAAAAAAAGAAAACAGACACACACACACACACACACACACACACACACACAGACTGTGTATGCAAAAATTATCTTTGTAAGGATATATAAATTATTAACACAAGTAATCTCCAGAACGGAAACCAGGTATCTGGAGCACAAGAGCTTTTCAAGGTATACCCTCTTCATCTTTTGAGTTATGAACCAAGTGAATTTATTATGTATTTGAACAAATAACATTGAAATGTCATTTAGAATACAGCATATTAAGATCCTTTTAGTTTACACTGCCAAAAAGTTGACAAAAAATAATTTTTCATTTCATTCACAGCAATAAATCCATTGCTCAGGACACTAGAAACTATGTTGTTACGATTTTTTAAATGTATGCTACATTTCATAAATTAGCCCCCCAAAAATTCTATTTGTAAAATATTTTAATACAAAAACTAACAGGTAAAATTAGTAAGTCAAAGGCATATGGGCAATCCAGTTACCAACTCAAAGGAAATTAAGATTTTAAGATTTTCACTCCAGTTCTTAGGGCTGTGTTTTGTTTTGTTCTATTTTTCATTTTTACAAATTATTAAATAAAATATGGATTTAAGTTGGCCATCTTAACTTTCCCAAAGTGGAATAACTTTTGGAATTTCAGAACTTTGATTTCTAGAATAAACACACCTTACCTGTACAATCTTCATTTAATGGATCTGACATTAGTATAGCAAAAGTTCTGGATAATCACTACCTCAGAACCAACAAGAACATTTTGACACCACCATTAGCTATTTGCTCTGTTAAGGGAGGACAACTAATACATGGTACACAAATGACTAGAAGGATATGAAATAATTTAATTAACAATACATTAGATCAACCCTGGATAACAGCAAGTTTTCAGTATTCTAAAAGTAACTGCTCACAATTTTATCACAAATTAGTAAGAATAAAATGCAAATTACCATCTTTCACTTAATTCACAATGAATATCACTAGCAAAACATGATAAACAACATAAAATAAACAGGTAATTGCTCTAACTGTACTTATAAAATTTCTTCCGGAGAAAAAGACTAAAACACCTTAGGACTATAAAGAAGTGCCAAGCTGGTCAGAGAAAAGCTAGACTTGGTAGAAAAATACAAAATAAAATTAACTATAGCAAAAACTGTCCTAGTTGTTAACAACTTAAAATTAACAGAAAAAAAAGAATCTTGACATTATTTTCGTCTTTATACACTTATCTAGAAGAACTGAACACAAAAGAAAGGCTGATATAGCACAAGTCTTAATGACAAAAGTCTAACAGAGACTAATCTGGTCAATTAATCAACTCCTTATATTAAAAACTTTACATGAACAACCCTGAAAATAATTTCAGAAACATAAAAATTCAAACTCCTTAAAACCACCATATATAAAAACTTCAGTTGCCTACAAATCAGAAATTCTCTTGGAAAAACATTTTCTCAATGAAAATCTATCTATATTGGCATAAATCTGACTTATTTTTAAAATAGTTTTTAGAGGGGCACCTGGGTGGCTCAGTGGGTTAAAGCCTCTGCCTTCGGCTCAGGGTCATGATCCCAGGGTCCTGGGATCAAGCCCCGCATCGGGCTCTCTCCTTAGCGGGGAGCCTGCTTTCCCCTCTCTCTGCCTGCCTCTCTGCCTACTTGTGATCTCTGTCTGTCAAATAAATAAATAAAATCTTTAAAAAAAAATAATAGTTTTTAGGTATAAATCTGACCTAAATATTTCTCAAACATGGGTGGAAAACAGTTATTGTCAAACCTCAAAGCTTAAAGCAACAATAGGATCAAAATATCAGTGTCAAAATATTCTGTAACCAAGTATAACTGGAATTGAGTAAATTATCTTTTAAATATTTGCTTTTGAAGGAATTCCTAACAGCAATCCAAATATAATGGCAGAATAAGAGTAATATACTTCCAGTTCTCTGAAAATGGTAGTAATTCTTATTTTCTCTTTTGTTCAACTTATTAACTGTTCAGATCGGGGTTCTTAACCTGTAAGAATCTCCTGAGGGACTCGTTAAAAATTCCAGTTCTGAACTCTATACCCAGAAATTCTGATTCAGGTCCGTGTAGCATCCAGGAATCTGCATTTTTAACCTGTACCTTGAATTGATTTCTTAAGCATTTGATTTGAGAATCACACACTGTTCTAAGGACAATCCTCTCTACTCAAATATATCCTAGGGAGAAAGTGAGACAAGAAGGCAAGAAGACAGAAAGACACAAAGACTGATTACAAACCTTTGTATGTTGGAGCAGGCGGTGCTGTTGCCACTTTCCTGACTTTTGCTGTCACTGAGTTATCAACATTAACAACCATTACTGGATGGTCAATATGACCCAGATTCTGGCCACGGCCATTTGTTTCTTCTGAGTGTTCCCACTGTTTTCTAATTCGCTCCTTGAGTTTTTCCAATTTGACATCATGTTGTCGCTGCTTTAGGATATCTAACCTTTGGGAATTAGAAGTACTAGTAGAGGACGGAGAAGAGTCAGTTATCCGTAACACTTTTGGATCAACATCATGGCCCATGTTACTTACAGAAGCCTTCTCATTTCCTTTTGTTCTAGTAGGATTTTCTTCCTCAGTTCGCAGAGGAGCTGCCATCTTAATCAAACATTCAGAATTCTGCAGTGCATCAACTGCTGGTCGATCATTTAAAAACCTAACCACTGTATCATTGATGACAGATGACTCGGAGCTCTCAAAATCATAGCAATGTATATCCCGCTCTTCTCGACTGCATACCAGCCGATTCCTGTTCTCGGGCTTTTCTTCATTAACATCCACACAATATACATGCTTTGACTCTAGAAGGCTAGGATTTATACTGGAAGTTGTACCATGGATTTCCCTATTATTAAAAAATAATCAGTTTTGAATAAAGATTTCAAAAACCAAACTGCTAAGCTAATATTAGAGACCCGAAAAAAGCTTTGGAATTCCAGTAGGTTCAATAACAAAATAACCATTACTAATATTAAGACTCAATGTTTAATGCCCTGCTATCAAGTTAGATGGCAAATAACCTAAATCATTAATTTCCATATTATAAACTAAGAAATACCCAAAAGATGTATGGAGAGATTTCCTTAAGAAATCCCAGAAAAGGGGCACCTGGGTGGCTCAGTGGGTTGAAGCCTCTGCCTTCGGCTCGGGTGGTGATCCCAGGGACCTGGAATGGAGCCCTGCATCAGGCTCTCTGCTCAGCAGGGAGCCTGCTTCCTCCCCTCTCTCTGCCTGCCTCTCTGCCTACTTGTGATCTCTGTCTTTCAAATAAATAAATAAATAAAATCTTAAAAAAAAAAGAAAGAAAGAAAGAAAAAAGAAATCCCAGAAAATAGGATTACAGGGGCACGTGGGTGGCTCAGTGAGTTAAAGCCTCTGCCTTCGGCACAGGTCATGATCCCATGGTCCTGGGATCGAGCCCCTCATCAGGCTCTGTTCAGCGGAGATCCTGTTTCCCCCTCTCTTTCTGCCTGCCTCTCTGCCTACTTGTGATCCCTGTCTGTCAGATAAATAAATAAAATCTTTGGGGAAAAAAAAAAAAAAGAAAATAGGATTACAATTTGACTTTGGATATTCAATGGACATCTGTTACCAAAATGTATATTTGATTTCTCTATGGACTCTTATTTTTTTCTCTATGAAATCTTAAATACAGGGAAAAAAAAGTCTCAAATTTTGTATTTGTCACTTCTAAATGATGTATCAAATTAACAAACAGACTGCAAGCAGAAGTAAAGTGGAGGTATAATAAATATTTTCCTCCAAATAAATGTAGTTAGTAAAGTGAAGCGTCTCTGAACAACAGAACACTTTTTTGGTAGCTTCAAACTATGTAAAGCACATCTAGGAATTGTAGAATAAGCAAAAACTCGGCATTGCCAAAGTACATATCACAAAGTCCATATTCTCTACTTATAAAAACATCAGCAAAAGTCTCCTTCAGAGGTTATTTTTATTTTATTCTATTTATTTGTATTTATTTATTTATATTTTATTTATATGATCATTCTAATAAGTTATATTTTAGAAACAGAAACAGTTTGTTAAAAGGGAATTTAATGAAGACAAGTCTCAGCAGTAAGAAGAGCACATGATTTATGAAAAAATACCCAAGAGAATTATAAAATTGAAAATAACAATCTGGGTCTGCAATGTCTGAAAGAGTAGTTATCAGCCGTATGTGTGAGCACTTGAAATGTGGATAGCCCAAATGGGAGATATGCTACAATGTAAATTACATACTAGATTCTAAAGACTTAGAATGACAACCAAAAAAGAATATAAAATGTCTTCATGTGTCTAGATATGGGACTACTAAAAAAGCTAAATATGAGGGTGCCTGGGTGGCTCAGTGGGTTAAGCCTCTGCCTTCAGCTCAGGTCATGATCTCAGGGCCCTAGGACGTAGCCCTGCATCGGGCTCCCTGCTCAGCAGGGAGCCTGCATCTCCCTCTCCCACTCCCCCTGCTTGTCTCTCTCTCTGTAAAATAAATCAATAAAATCTTCAAAAAAATAAAAAAAATAAAAATTAAATATGTGTGGCTCACATTAACAATTCTATTATATACCACTGATCTAGATGTTTCATGTAAAGGCATAAAACTCTAAATACCACGATAATTCTTAAAGCCATAATTCTGTTATAGTGTAATATGATAATTACATCTACTGTGAATCTGTGAGTATGTGCATTTTTCTAAGGAGATAGTCTACAGTTTTCATCAAATTCTCATTGGAATCCATGACCCAAAAACCATTAGACCCTGTTCTGAATGGCTGATTATTAAACAAGATGGGGGCTGAGAAATGACTTCTGTAGCTTCCGCTAGAGATCAAGACTAAATTCAGTTATTTGTACTACCTTTACCAGACCATAATAATTCATAATTAAAATGATTCAGGTATAAAATTAGCACATGTAAAGAATAAAATAAAGCACAAAAAGGTAGTTTACATATCATGTCACAATCTTAAAAAGGGAAGGAGAATTGATCCTGAACCATCAAAAAAAAAGTAATTTCACAGTTTTTCATTAACTCATTCATTAAATATTTACTGAATCCATATAATAGTGTTTATTACACAATTCTTTCAACTTTTCTGTAAGTATGAAAATTTTCATAAGTATTAGGAAAAATAATTATGGAATACTTAAAAGACAGGCATTAAGTTAATGTTTTAAGATTAACACAGATTTACAGCTTTACATAAGCTAATATAATGGAATCAAAATATAATGCAGCATGAAAATGCTTTAACAGATGAAGTTATATAGTATTACAAGAGCACACAGGAAGGATTTAAATAGGCTGTGGGAATGGAATGGGAGGAAAAACAGATCCAGCAATGCTTCATACAGGTGCTAACAATGAGTTTTAAGTGATAGAGTCAGCCAGATGAAGGATGTGCCCTTCACAGCTATCCTACAGGTATTTCTTTAAATCCTAAAAGATATATAGTTTACAAAATTTTAAATATCAAGTAGTATCCTTTGCAGGAAGAATACCAGAATATGAATCAAGAGTAATTTATAGTTTCAATTCTGATGGTGATTATGTTTCTAGGCAAGTTGCTTAATATTTGTGTGGTTAAAGACTTCTAAACTCTGATTATTTTTCACATTTTTTTCTTTCTCCTTTTACTAAACTATGAACTTTTACCCAGATTAATTCCCTGGCCTTCTCTCTGTCTCTTCACCATTTTTATCACTTTAACACCAGTGAAAATTTTCCAAAACTCCCAAATTCCCAGCTCTGACCTTTCCACACACATTCCTGCTCAAATTTTCATATGCCTACTGAATATTTTCACCTAGATATTTCAAAATTATATCAAATCAAATACTGATATTATGAACTCATGATCTACCTCCATCTCCCCAATTCTTTATCTCAAATTTAGAGTACAAATATATACCCAGTAGTATCTAGCACCACCATGATACTCGACTTACTGACTGATATTTTATAACACTAAAAATGTTAATAAATGAAGCCAAGAAATATAAGGTTCAGAGTTTATTACTTAATATTATTTGCTATACTGAGAGCATTACCACATATTTTATAACATTAGTAAAATGCTCCTCAAATATAAAATTCTATCATTTTATCTACTGAAAATTCTAAATCATCAGCTAACAAAAATACACATCATTTGATATTATCCATACTATCAAATTCATATATCAATCCTGAACATCTGACAATAAGTTGCTGAGGGGAGCCACAAACAACAAAGTGAAACAATAAAACAACTCACATTCTCACTAGGAAAGAAATTTTAGGTAACTGATTAATGCTACCAAAACAAAAAAAAAAAGAAGAAAACTAAGCTATAAAAAGTCCATTATGCACAACACCTAATCTGAGAAATTAAGAAAAAAAAATCTGTACTTCCAGAGACTGAATAATCTGTCTACAGGAAACATATATATTACAATGGTGGTAGCCTGAGCCACTACTTCTTCCCCCTAAATATTCAATCTGTGAAAGAATAGAAAGTTAGTATTTCAGAATATAAAACATTTTTGCTTTATCTTTTTGGAAAATTAAAAAGGTAGTAATATTAGAGCCAGAGTGCCATGAAAAACCCAGAAAAGAAACCATAATCCTTTTGTAAATATTACAGGCTAATCCTATTTGATAATTTGTTTTTAATCACTAACCTGTAAGAAACCAAAGGTTCACGAAACTCCACACGGTTATTTTTCTTTACATTACTCTCCAAGGTGGTAACTCTGAGAGGACTCCGAGATTTCTCTTTTCGTGATTTAGAAGATTTAGAAGTTGGAGCATTAGCCCAAGAATCATCCAGATATCTACCATCTGAAGAAAAAGAAAATCTGTAAGAACATACGACTGCCTCTGAATTTGACTAGTATTTGTGAAAATAACAGGTATCTATCATTTCTGGCATCTCTAGTTGGATATTATATAAGTAGATAGGAAACACTGAGGTTAAATTATTTACTCAATCTATAAAGAAAAAACTATTCTGAACAAACAATGAAAAACTCCACATACAAAATTATTTTTTGTTAAAGGTTGACACTCACTTAAAAAAAAGAATTATCAAGTAAAACGCACCAGATTCACAGGTTAAAAAAAAAATTAGTTTTACTTTAGTACTAACCTCTAGGTTTTAGACCACTAATTAAGGAACTACAAAATTACATACATGACAGGTAATCAAAGAAAGTATTTGCATTTTGTCAATTTATGACAGTATCTGTTAAATATTCCAGTTATTATTTAAAACTCCCTAAAATATGTAAAATTCACTAAGTCAACTAAATCTCGTTGATAGATCTGTGAATTTAAAGAAAGAATATATAATTTCAAACACTTAAAATCAAATTCTCATCACTAAAAACCAATGAAAAGTCACTGTCAAAAGTGGTGTAGTAACGCTAAAGTCCCTGATGAAAAGATGGTGAAGGGGCACCTGGTTGGCTCAGTCGTTGAGAGTGTGCCCTTGGCTCGGGTCATGATCCCACAGTTCTGGGATCAAGCCCCATATCGGGCTCCCTGCTCAGCGGGAAGCCGGCCTCTCCCTCTCTCACTGCCCCCCCCTCTGCCCCGCTTGTGTTCCCTCTCTCACTGTCTCACTCTTTGTCAAATAAATAAAATCTTTAAAAAAAAAAAAAAAAGAAGAAAGAAAAGATGGTGAAAACATGGGGCACCTGGGTGGTTCAGTCGGTTAAGCATCCGAGTCTTGATTTCAGCTCAGGTCACGATCTCAGGGTTGTAAGATCGAGCCCCATAATGGGCTCCAGCTTGAGATTCTCTCCCTCTGCCTCTGCCCCTCCCCCTGCTCATTCTCACTCTCTAAATAAACTTAAAAATCTTAAAAAAAGAAAGATGTGAAAACATCATCTACAGTCACTGAACATGAGGTTGCTTCATGACTACTCAGTACCAAAGACAAAAAAACCTAAATGTTGATGAGGTATCATCTCTGATTAAAGAGCTAGCAAATATGAGGGACTATATAAAGAAATTAAACTGAAACAAAATTAACATCTATATTTGTATCTTTGAAAGTAACTTTATACATACCTTTTCTACTTATTTTTCGGGTAGCACTTGCAGATTTCTTGGTATCCATGACAGAATCAAACACAGCTGTACTTGTAGGGGTTACTTCTAATTTGTTTTCAATGTGTCTCAGCTAAAGTTTAAACACCATCACAACAAAGAGGTTAATTCTGTAAATAAACCAGCTACCATTTATTTACATAGTTAATTTTTTACTTTATTTTTTTATTTTTTTATTTTATTTTACTTTATTTTTTACTTTTTTAAATGTAAACTCTATGCCCAATGTGGGGCTTGAACTCATGACCCTGAGATCAAGAGTTGCATGCTCTACTGTGTCAGCCAGGCGCCCCAATTTACAGTTATTTAAATTATATTGTCCAGTACTTTTCTCCAAAGTCAAAACAACTCAGGAATGCCTTTGTTCAATATTAATTTTTTTCATTACTTGCTACTTCACCTATAGTAAGAAGTGATACAATGCTGCCCAAATTTGGACAAGAAAATCAAAAAGATTCTGAAGAGTATCAAAAAGTTTCATTTGTCTTTTTGACCTTTTTTTTTTATTGCTGATTTTTTTTAAGCAAGCAGTACATTTTCTGACATTATAGGTCACATATCCTTATGCTATATATCCTGTGCATTTTGCACGCAAAAATTAGATAAGAACAATTCAGATGGACTAAAATTTAGAACTGTTCGAACAGCTTATATTATAGGCATAACAGTCTTATGCCTATAAGTTTCACAATAAAGATAAAATTCTTAAGATAGAAAACTCAGGTTTCCATACACTTTACAGTGTAAGTGAATTTCTGATAAAACCACCAATGTTCTTAAATTATTTAATAAAGCATTTTTCCCTAATTATATGCTTATAAGAGAAAACTTGGAAAACAGAGAAAAGGCATAAAAAATGAAATTAAAATCGTCAAAATCCCACCACATAGAGATAAACACTTTGTATAAAATTCTAATTTATTTTCTCTCAGATTTTTGTGGTACAATGTACTCAAAAAATGAAATAAATCTTCATAATCTGTATCAGGCTTTTTCCTCCCATTTATATTATAAGCCCCCTTAGCATCCTTAAAAATAATTTCTAAAAACACAATAGTTTTGAAAAATGAAAATTAACAGTTCAGCTCCAAATTAGGTTAACTCTAAATTAAACTGGGGATAAAAACTCTTCCTACATTGTAGATACATAATGCTCATGTAGAAGAGAGAGAGAATATATATAACGTGCATTTGACCCTACATTATGACCAAATCTAGGTTATAGTACCTTTTCCAGATCCATTTTCATACCAGTTCAAAAGATTAGGGGGCAGAAAATACCATATTCATAATGTAAAGAAATAGGTGACTCAAATTCAGGTAGGAAAAAAAGAAAACAAGAAAGGAGATATTAGGAGAGTAATTTTTCTAGAGAGCAAATGAAAACAAAAAGAAAAAGGAAACAATCTCCCCTCAAAGAGACTATGTATCACTTGCCAAATTTGGATTCCTAAACTCCAGACAAGACTGGACAGAACACAAATGAAAACAGGTTGCCCATAGTCATTGTTCAGCTGTATTGAGAAAAAGCAGTCTGTCATTGCCACAAAAGAGGTCACTCCTAGTCCATTAAAGAAGCTGCTCCTTTCATTTCCTCTCTGACTCTGAGCTTTCTACACAGACATAACCCCACATTCCCAAATTCATTTTGTTTTAAATCTTCATTTCAATAAGCCAAATGAACAAATTTATTAAAGGAAAATAAATAGAATAAATCACTTTAATATTTATATGCCATAGTATTAATGTTCCTGACACCTGAAGTAGTGTCTTGATTATCCCTGTCCTATTTAATAGTCATCCTTAATGTTCATTTTGTAATAAATGGTATTAACTTCTTACTAAATTCTTTATTTTCCTATGAAAAAGTACTATAGAAAAAAACGTAATCTATTCAATTTTAACAGGAAATCAATTTTAAACCAGAAAGAAATAAATGGAAACTCTAACTACTTACAGCAGCCTTAGTCTGAGAAAGTGCGTCCCACGATGTGGTTCTATCTGCTGAGAAACATTGATATTTACTGAATCAGAATCTCTAAAGTGGTCCTCAAAATCTGCATTTCAGTAAGCTCCTAAATGCACTCAAAATTATGAGAACCATTTTATTAGGCAGAACTATTTCTCAGCAAATGCTTCATTATATTGAACCAAAACATAGTACTTGGGCGCCTGGGTGGCTTAATGGGTTGGGCCTCGGTCTTCGGCTCAGGTCATCATCCGAGGTCATGGGATCGAGCCCCGCATCAGGCTCTCTGCTCAGCAGGGAGCCTGCTTCCCCTTTTCTCTCTGCCTGCCTCTCTGCCTACTTGTGATCTCTCTCTGTGTCAAATAAATAAATATCTTAAAAAAAAAAAAAAAGGTACTTTTCCTATTCTATAAAGCCAAGCTTCCTAGTATATGATTTAGAGTTGTATTAGACACTGATCCTATTAATTCTTAGGACAACATCCCCATTCACAGCCCCATCAGACAACTCCAACAACAGGCAGTATCCTCTATTTACCCCAGTGACCTAAACACGAAATTTTGTACTGTAGTGTATTTCACAATCATGATGTTGAAAAGATTAAAAACTACTCCAGACCTCAATCTACCAAAAGAAACAAAGGTAAAATCGAGTCTTTCAGATAAGAGCCCTTCAAATAGTACAAGGCCACCTAGTTCCCTTAAATCATCTTTCTCTAGGATAAACAATTTCATTCCCTCCAAATGTTCCTCATGTGACATGATTTCCAGATCCCACATAAACCCAATAATCTTCCTCCAGATATACTCTAGTTTGTCAATGCACCTCAAAATATATCATGTCCTAATTAAAGTAACCCTTGATGCATCATTTTAAAAAAAAAAATAGTTCGGGGCGCCTGGGTGGCTCAGTGGGTTAAGCCTCTGCCTTCGGCTCAGGTCATGATCCCGGGGTCCTGGGATCGAGCCCCGCGTCGGGCTCTCTGCTCAGCAGGGAGCCTGCTTCCCTTCCTCTCTCTGCCTGCCTCTCTGCCTACCTGTGATCTCTGTCTGTCAAATAAATAAACAAAATCTTAAAAAAAAAAAAAAAAATAGTTCAATGAGACTTTGCCTTTTCTTATCTGTGATTTTTCTTTTCTTATCTTCACAATCTAAAACTTTATTAGGAGCTATATTACAACATTTGTTGACATTAATCAGAATTTCCAAAAAACTGTGTAAAACTAATTCTATATATCCTGATTCTTTTTTATGTTTTCCTTTATAAGTTTGCCATAGGACACCTCTGAAGGTGAGGTACCTTGCACATTTAAAGCATATATAAAAACTGAACCTAAAAAATTATCCACTTTATAAATCAAAAGCAGGCATTAATTCTAAAGTTTAAAGAAAATAAATCATACCTTGAACAGTATCCTTGCTTTGAGAGTTCCTTGGATTTGGTAAAGGCACCTCTTTTGATTTGCTGCTCCTCATCCTGCCACTTTACCTACAATCATAGCATCAGCATTCATGAAACATCAATATTATGGTATTAGTAAAGAAAATACTCTCATTTATCTTAACTTTCATGGAAGTCAGAAAAAGATTTATCTAAATTATTATCAACTCTACAAGTTATCTTTATGCCTTCTAGAGTCCCTTATAATCTACTACCTTTATTTTTCCTTGGAAAACTAAATCATTAAGAAGTCTATCATGACCACCTCACACCAACTAGGATACCCAAAAACAAACAAAGAAACAAAACAACAACAGAAAATAACAAATGTTGATGTGGAGAAAACTGTAACTCTTGTGCAATGTTGGTGGGAAGGTAAAATGATACAGGCTCTATGGAAAACAGTATGGCAGTTCCTCAAAAAATTAAAAATAGAATTAACCACATGATCCAGCACAAAACAAATGAAAACAGGGTCTCAAAGAGACATTTGTACATCCATGTTTATAGCAGCATTGTTCACAATAGTCAAAAAGTGAAAGCAAAACTGTCCACCAACAGATGCAAAGGTACGTAAAATGTGGTATATACATACAATGGAACATTATTCAGCATTAAGTGGAAAATTTTGCCATATACTATAATACAGGTGAACTTTGAGACATCAACTAACTGAGACAAGCCAGTTACAAAGCCGAATACTACATGATTCCACTTCTATAAGACACCTAGAGTAGTCAAAATCATAGGGAAAAAACACAGTGGTTGCCAAGAACTGGGGAAGGGGGGGAACAGGGAGCTATTGCTTAATGGGTATAGAATTCAGTTTTACAAGACAGAAAGTGATCCAAGACAGATGGTGATAATGGTTGCATAATGCTATAAATTTTTTAAATAATTTTTTTATAAACATATAATGTATTATTAGCCCTAGGGGTACAGGTCTGTGAATCGCCAGGTTTACACACTTCACAGCACTCACCACAGCACATACCCTCCCCAATGTCCATTACCCCACCACGCTCTCCCTACCCCCACTCCCCCCGCCCTCCTCAGTTTTTGTAACATTAAGAGTGTATTATGGTTTGTCTCCCGCCCGATCCCATCTTGTTCCATTTATTCTTTTCCTACCCCTCAAACCCCCCCACATTGCATCTCCACTTCCTCATATCAGGGAGATCATATGATAGTTGTCTTTCTCCGATTGACTTATTTCGCTAAGCATGATACCCTCTAGTTCCATCCACGTCGTTACAAATGACAAGATTTCATTTCTTTTGATGGCTGCATAGTATTCCACTGTGTATATATACCACATCTTCTTTATCCATTCATCTGTCAGTGGACATCTAGGTTCTTTCCATACTTTGGCTATTGTGGACATTGCTGTTATAAACATTCGGGTTCACGTGCCCTTCGGATCACTATGTATCTTTAGGGTAAATACCCAGTAGTGCAATTGCTGGGTCATAGGGTAGCTCTATTTTCAACTTTTTGAGGAACCTCCATGCTGTTTTCCAGAGTGGTTGCACCAGCTTGCATTCCCACCAACAGTGTAGGAGGGTTCCCCTTTCTCCGCATCCTCGCCAGCATCTGTCATTTCCTGACTTGTTAATTTTAGCCATTCTGACTGGTGTGAGGTGGTATCTCATTGTGGTTTTGAATGCTATAAATTATTTAATACCACTAAATTATACACTGAAAATGGTTAAGGTGGTACATTTTATGTTGTGTATTCTATCACAAAAAAAAAAAGAAAAAATTATATCATGATTCAAAGAGAAAGATCATCATCTGCTTATGCTGACTAGACAGCTTGGTAATAGTCATTTTTTCCTATGAATATAGAATTATTCTGTTATGAAACTCACAAAACACTGAAAGTTTGGAAAATACAGGCAAGGAAACTCATCCCTAGCCCCCAAATCTTAAAATGATCATTAAGCTATTTTGCATAGTTTCTTTTTCCTAATTTTCTTTTTTTTACTCTAATTTGTGTAAAGAATAAAAAATTTTTATTTTTGTGTCCTACTGCTAGATATTTGTGGTAGTTTTTAAATATATTCATAAATTCTATGATACTCCTTTCTTCAAGTAGAGGTTAATTTTTCTTCCATTAAGTGTAAGCTGGTCTTAGGGATACACTTTTAACAAATCAAATGTCATTGAAGTGTCAATATGTGACTTTTAAGTGTAGGTCACAAAAGGCATTGCTTATTCTCTGGAGTTACACAGCAACAGATTACCAGTACAATATCCTGCCTTACAAGTAACACTGAAATGAACATATTTGTATCTGTGAATTTTTGCTTATTTATCTAGAACAGGATCTACAAAGGGGATCTACAAAAAACAGGGGATCCTACAAACAGGATCTACAAAAAAATGAACTAAAGAGTGTGAAGAACACGCTGCTCTTGAGATCCAATGTTAAACTGTTTTCCAATTTATAATTTACAACTGTTCTTATTTACAATAAGCCTACTAGTTTCATTAACCTCTTTTAATATTGAGCATTATATCTATTCTATTTACCTTTGCTCATTTAGTAGGAAGAAAATGGTTGTTTTAATTTGAATTCAATAAACTGCTAAGATAGATCTGCTAGGATAGATCTTTGCCATAGATCTATCTTTATGCCTTCTAGAGTCCCTTATAATCTACTACCTTCTAGAGTCCCTTATAATCTCAATCTTAGTTCTTCATGTGTGAATTATCATGTCCTTTGCCCATCTACTACCAGGATCATCATGTTTTTCTTATCAATTTGATGAGTTCTTTACATTATGAATATATGATCTTTGTCACATTTGATAAAAATAATTTTCTTCAACCACTGTTTTCAAAGCCAGTTCAGTATGTTGTATATTAAAGAACCTAATTTAAATTTAAGGAAAAGATGGGGCATCTGGGTGGCTTAGTCGGTTAAGCCACTGACTCTTGTTTTTGGTGGGGGTCATGATCTCAGGGTCATGGAATCAAGCCCCATGTTAGGCATGTGCTCAGCATGGAGTCTGCTTGAGACTCTCTCTTTCCCTCTCCCTCTGCTTCCCCTCATGCTTGTGCTCTCTCTCTTTCTCTCTCTAAGATAAATAAAATCTTTTTTAAAGATTTAAAGAAAATTTAATTTTAAATTTAAAGAAAATTTTAAAGAAATTTAAAGAAAATTTAAATTTAAAGAAAAACCTACCTACTAAAGAAATTTAATTTAAATTTAAAGAAATTTAAAGAAAATTTTAAAGAAAAACCTACTTACTAAAATACAAATTAAAAGAAGAAATTTATTTAAAGAAAATTTAAAGAAATTTAAAGAAAAATTTAAAGAAATTTAAATTTTAAAGAAAATTTAAATTAACAAATT